TGTGATTTTAATAAAGAATTATAAAAAAAGATAAAAAAACTTTCATTCATATTTAAAAATAATGTATTTATTTTTTTTCAATCAGAGTTTATTAAAACAATGCAGTTTTGAAAAAAATTTTAAAAATAAGGTATTTTAATTTTTTTAATAAAAATTTATTAAAATAACATAATTTTAAAAAAATTTAGGAAGTAAGGTAAATAAATATTATTTTTATGTATATATTATCAATTTAGATTATATATACCAAGATTAAAATTTTAAAAATAAGATATTTTAATTTTTTTAATAAAAATTTATTAAAATAACATAATTTTAAAAAATTTTAGGAAGTAAGGTAAATAAATATTATTTTCATGTATATATTATCAATTTAGATTATATATACCAAGATTAGTAAGTTTATTTAAAATTAATTTTATTTTTGAAAATTAAATTCTAACTAATTCCGAATCTTATAGAAACTAGGAAGATTAATTTTTTCTATGGCCACCCCGTATTTGATTATTAGTATTAAAAATAAAATATGGTGAGATCTGTAACTTGTGAGAATGGAAAACTTGACTAAATCATGAAGTGACGTTAGAAAAATTACACATGCCTATAAAAGTTGGTTAGTTGTCCCAATTTTTTTTTTGACAAAAATAATGATTAGAAGTTAATAAATTTAAAATTATTAATAAGAGATATTAAATTTGGATAGAGTGCAATTTATCGACTACTTTTTTAAGTAATAACAGTCACAATCACAACAAAAAAAATGCAAGAAGAGATAAAAATTAAATCTTACATTCAAAATTAAATATTTTTAATCAATAATTAAGTGATCACTTGAATCACACTACTTCTTAGTTGTCCCATACTTTATTCTTTGGAAAATCTGTCGGAAAGCCAACAACCTTTGACGGGGGCATGATGGGCTTCCTTTTTTTCTATTTCTTTTTTTTCATCAAACATAAACTACTAAATTAACCAAGAAAAAAAGGAAAGGCGTTTGTTTGAGGTTAAAAAATTATTTTATACAAAAATACAATTCAAGCTGACATACGTAGTATAAGTAACGTCATAATTTT